CTGTCCATGGAGAACTGGTGCGGCACGAGACGGCTGCCTTCCCAGGTCAGGGCACAAAATACTGCGCCTTCCCTCAAGCAAGTCAGGAAGTTTCCGACAGTGCCATCAACTTTCTATCAACTTCACAAGCCAAAACATTTTGAAAAGAAACCTCAATCTCTTTTCTTTGGGGACCAAAAGATGTTTTACCCACTTTCAAGCTGACGGATTTCAAGGCCAAGCATCGCTGAGTAAACCAACTATTTCACTCGATCTAGGTGGTCACATAGGTGTGCGCACAGTTAAAATCATGTTGCACATGTAAGACATGTTTAAAAATTTTTAATTATAAGAAAAGAAAACCCAACCATTTAAAAGTGTAGTTTATTTCTGTGGTTAGGTAGACATGGTTATGGAAAGAATATGGTTTATGTTTGTCAGGCACGTTTTTCAAGAAAATGGCAAACCCCAGAAGGCTGGGGTGACAAGCAAAAATTACAAAAAGGTGCCTGCGTTTTCATTTTGCTAGATTTGAAACAATAACAAAGGAGGCCCTTTGCGTTTGCTTGGGGCTAATTTACAAGGCAGGCCCCCATCAACTGGACGTACCCAGCATACCCACACCCATCACCTAACCTCTCGGAAACTTGGGCTGTCCTTGGGTGCGATCGGTTACAATGAACGTGTAGACCTGTTCGCATTTATTCATTGGCCACCTTCCCCCACAGAATGTGAGGAGGGGTTTTGTCTGATTCGCTCACTGCTCCATTGTCAGGGAGCAGAACAGTGCCTGGCATGCAGTAAGCACGCAGGGAAACATTGGCCGAATGGACAGACAGCTCTGATTTGTCACTGGGGGAGAAGGGAGAAGTTTCACATAACTGGAAGATGAAGGGTCACAATCCACAGGCAGAATAAGGGAGGAGGAAGAGAAGGGTGAGTTCCTGCAGCCGAGGAGGGGCTTACGGGGAAGGAATGACAAGATTGGATATAAAGAGGGAGTGTGAACTTATGACGCATGCTCACACTGGCATGGTATCTGACACACGCTGAGCTCTGAATACACACTCGCTATTACTATTATTTTTAATTACATATATTTACAATTGAAGAGGATCGAACAAATTATCAAATGCTACAAAGGAACACAATAAAATGAGCACGTACGCCCCACTCATGATGGCGTTTCTCATCCTTCTGGGTTGGGAAAGGGACAGAAAGAGACAGAACATGCCGAGAGCACACATTGGACTCCTCCTTTGGGCTCCCAGGCCACTCACTGCCTCAGTTTCCCTCATTTACTGGATTTTTGGGTAGAGAACACCAAAAGGTGGAGGCAGAATGCAGTCCTAGATTGCCGTGTGACCTTGGGCAGTGGAAGACCACTCTGAGCCTATGTCCTGAATAAAATAAGGGGAGGTGGGTCAGAGGTTTTCACACACACTCTGATGGGAAACAGCTCCGACAAAACCCCGTCCCAGGTGAGCAAGGGAGGCTCCTCCCCCAGCACCTGACCACTGACGGGGTCCTTCCTGGTTGAGGTCCCTGTGACTCTGTTGCCCTATATCATTTCCGACTCCCACACTCCAGAGGGAGCTTTTTTTTTCCCTGAGGGTTTGTCATTAACACTTGTTTCACTGCCTTGAGAGAGATGCGCTTTTAAGAAGCATGGACAATAAAGGAGGCATGAACATTTTTAGGGCCCGTACCTTAATCAGGAGAGCAACTACCTCATTTTAAACGGAACTAATCCCATCCTGAGCCTGACCAGCATTCCATTCCTTGGAACTGATACCAAAAAAAAAAAAAAAAAAAAAAAAAAAAATCCAAAAAGAAGAAAAAGCTATGTGCGTGGACTTCTTTGTCATGGCATTTTTCATTATACTGAATCTTGAGAAACTGGGACCAACCAACAGCCCGGCACTGAGTTATGAGACTGGAGTGTAATTCGGTAAGTATGGTGCTCCCTAGAACGTTAGCCATTGCAACACTCGCTGTGAAAACTGGGACATATGGAGAAGAGGGAACCGCGGAACACCAAACACGCAAAGGGAGGGTGGGAGTCCAGCTCGCTTCCCTCTGCATATCTTCCTCCTCCTTCCTGTCTTTTAGTTTCTCCCACGTTGCTATGAGAACGTGGGAAAATGAGTTGATGTATGGGGGTCAATGACACTATGACTTCCTTCAGCTTCTATCACTGTGCTGGGGAGGGGACAGGACCAAAGCACAAAGAGAGGCAGAGGAGACACTGCATGTGAGTAGAAGCCTCGGGCCTTGAGCTAGGGCGGTGCCTTTTTCTCTCCGTAGGCCCAGGACACATCTCCGTCACCGCCCTCCCTGGTGGGCAGCGAGTGCCTGGTTTTGAGCTGTGAGCACAGGGAGGCTGGCACGCGGCAGGCACCTGGGGACGATGTGACGTGAACAAAACCTTCCTTTCCAACGCGGGGCTCCGTGCCTGTGGCTCTCCAAGGAGCACGATGGGACTGACGTGATGAAACAGGAAACGAAAGCCGTGCTTTCAACTATTGGCGTTAACCAAGTGCAGGGTGAAACTGTAAAAGGGTATTGAGTACCACGAAAAGTAGGCCAAGGGTAAGAAACACTCCCGGTACCCAAGAGAGCTCAGCTGACCAAATTAAGTCTGATCCAGAATAAACAGTTCTCATGTGGAAATCTGGCAGTTTCAGAAAGTCCTGTCCAAGGGTAAAAAGGCCCACGGCGCTGAGCCGCACCATTATGTAACCCTTCAGGAAAGCGGGTGGAAGCGCCGTTGCACTAGGGTGCGTGGAGAAAATCAAATGTGGGAAAATAATTCTCAGGCCTCAAAGAAGAGGACTTTGTTACTGAAGAGAAACCAGGCTCATGTGCCCCTTCCCATGAACTTGGCCAACCTCTGTTCTCCCCGTGCCTACCCAGCACCCAAGTCCTAAAACAAGGTTTCTATTATCAAATCCCTGACAGAAATCACTTTCAAATAGTCATGTGAGGACCAATGCACGTGAAGGAATTCATCTGAAATGAAACTGAAGCTTAGTTGTTACCAACAGGTCAAGGCCATTCATGCTAAGATTCAGGCTTTGCCACAGTTATAAAATAAAAAGACAAAGGAATTTAGGACAGTGCCTAGGGTGGTAGAAGTATTAATGTAACAGATCTAAGATGAATGGAGAGCTAAGTGAAAACAGAAAAAGGGCGACTACTGTAACTGCCAATGAGAATGACGAATTTGCTACATTGGGTTTGACTTTTTGTCACCCACTACGCTACAGTGTAGGATATGGCCTTGTAGGATACAGTGTAGGAGAAGGTCCTTCCTCTCAAAACACATGGACTGCTTTGCAGAAAAGCATTCAGACCAGTTAGAACGTCTGCACGAATGACTGCAGACAACAAACAGGTCAAGGTACGAGGTACCAGGGAAGTGAGAAGGGACTCTTTCAGCAGTGGGTAAGGTAGTTATTGGGGATGCATTTAAAAACTACCTTAAACAGAACTTAGAGAGCACGCCACAGGCAGGAAAGTAAGCAAAAGCCTGACTCAAGTCCAAGTTTGTGGGTGAACAATGTCAGACAAGGCTGTAAAGGTAATTTAAAGCCAGATTACAAGAGAGCCATAAATGAGCTAAAGAACCTGGACTTCACTCTCGGACACCATGTGAGGACACAACATGAAGTGGCCGCCTGCGAGCCGGGACAGCATTCGCCAGCAATCAACCGTCGGACTTGGGTTTAGAACTTCCTGGAAGCTGGGGAGTCTGAGATCAAGATGCTGGCAGCTCTGGTTGCTGACCAGACAACCCAGGCCCCGCGTAGCCACGCAGGTCATCCACGAGCCCAGGAGAGAAGCCTGGGACAGCGCCTTCTCCTGCAGCCCTCAGGACACAGTCCTGCTTGCACCTAGGTCTCGGATTTCCAGCCTCCAGAGCTGTGTATAACAAACTTTCTTACGTGAAAGAACACAGATGGCTTTTGTCCACGGAATGATGTTATGACTGAAGGATTCTTCCACTAAAACGATTTTGCCGGAGACTTATGCACAGTGTTTTGCTTCCAGTTTCCCTTTTTTCACTCTACAATTCTCAGAGCAGAGGCCTCATTTTCTTCTACTAATTTCCCTGCTTCCTTCTATGCTAACTACCAGAAAATGTGACAACTCATTAGGACCAAGGAGGGACATCTCTTACCTTTCATTCGTTTCTAAGTCACTAGGTTATGGTGCTAGTATCCTCCTCAATTTCTGATACCCCGTGTCGAAGTTTTGAAGAATAATTTGCCTCAACTAGAAAGCTTATGTGTACTTATAAAATGGGTCTTTCAACATTAAAATCACTTTTGTAAATTGACATCTGGGGGGAAAAAAAACCCTGCTTTGTGTTATTATCATGGATGGAAATTTCTTAAATGTTAAAAACTTGGCAAAAAATGAATTTGGTTCCTTCAGCAGGCAGAGGGAGGCAGTTAGTCTGTAATCTTGACTGAGGAAGACTGGTAACCTAGAACCAAATCCTTACACAGGCATACATTTTATCGTGTTTCACACGTGCATCTTCATAAATGGAGGGTGAGACCCTCCACCAGCAAGAAGACTGCAACTCGCTTTACACAGGGGCCTGGAACTGAGCGGCAGTACCTCTGAGACACGTCTGCAGTAGATGCCTGAACCAGCGGTTCTCAAAGAACTGCTTTCAAAGATACTGTTGCCAGGTCTGCCCGAGACAGCAGTTCATTTTGTCAGGGATGAGGTTCAGGCACCATCCCAAGCTTTTCCTCAGATGATTCTACTATGCAACTGGGGTTGCAAGGCATTGTTTTTGATCTATTCTTTCTGTTGATACAGTAAGGCTCAAATCACAGGAAGATATAATTCTGAAGAAACCACATGTAACACGCCAAACTGACCTACTAAAATGAAACCTAAGAGCACACCATTCATTACAGCATTTCCACCACAGAAGAAAAACAAATATTGAATGGATATATACAATTTATTTAATAAATTAATGTCATTCAAAATACAGTGCCAGAACATGATGCAGTTGAACATGCTAGTAATGTCTGTCGTGAAGCACCTGTGCTCATGTTAGGTCGGCAGCGCCCGCTACTGCTAGTGGTTCCTGGGATGAGTGCCGGAGCAGCACTCGTCACCTGCTCTTCCGCACGGCCAGTGCAGAGGATTCCTGAACAGTTCACCTGTCTAACCCTACCCCACGCATACACACACAACAGGTTAAAAAAAGCACACCCTGACGGCTAACGGAGATCTATACACAATCACTCTACAGTAATGCTTGTTATTAAATTAAGATGTGATGACCTGGTTGACCCACTCGAAATCGTTAAGATGGAGAAGTACAACAGCAGCAGGTAGTTGTATGCATGAGCCAATGTTAATGTAATACAGAGAGTGGAGGCCTTCGCTGACGAAAGCTCCACCCAGACCCGCACAAGGAGGGACCAGCAATTTCTAGTGCCAGCCCAGCAACTTAAGTCCGTATCTGGTAAATGACCAGCTGACTGGAAGACCTGTATTCTAGAGACAAGTATAAGTTAGTGAAGAGAGAATACATGCACCTAATAGTATAGTTAGACTGAGCCTGCAGTCATAGCTTTCCCTGTGCAATACCGTAAATGGAAGATCTTCCTCAGCTATAGTGTAGGATTTAGACACTCCTATTCCAACACGGACGTTAGTGTTAAGTGCAGCAGAACTAATTACACTGGAAAAAAAAAAAACACAAAAAACAAAAAACAAAAAACCTGTATTCCAGGACTTCAGAACAGAAGCACAGGAATGGAATACATACACTAACATAACCTCAGCACACTTTGTGATAGACCACACTAGGAACAGGGAACTAGTTTAATAAGTGAACTTTCTGAACTGTACATACACAGGGCTAACAATGTTAGATAATCCAGATTCTATGTTCTCATGATACACATAAAAGTTTCTCAATTAGTGGATAATCTATTTCATATTATGGAAGCATATCTTTCTGCAAGACTCACTGATATATATTATACTGATGCAAATATTAAGTAGGGCATAAAAATAAAATTTATCAAAGATAGATTTTTATGTACTCCTTTGTAGTCCTTTCATAGCCTCTCTTGTTTAGCAAAGAAAATGACAAAGCACAGACATCCGACGTCCACTTCTGATCTCCCAACTATACAGGCGGAAGTGCAACCATTTCTCCGTCCAGTTCAAACTCCTCTGTCCCATCTGGTGAAAAGAGATAGGTTGGCGGTTTCCACGGAGATTCTTCAAGGCAGGACGGATAGAGCTTCCCCACAGTGCATCGGAAGTCTCTCCCTAGGTCCCACAGTACACGTTCAGATATGTGCTGACGCAGGGACCACCGGTCGAGTTCCAGATCATATTGGTAAGTGACATATTTAGCTCTTTCATTTAAGTGAGTTTCTCGCATAAACACACACAGAGAATTGGAGATCACAACAGCCCGAACACAGGGGTCTGAGTACCTCTTAGCAGGAATGTTAGCTGCCATTTTCCACTCATTTTTATTCACATCATAAATTTCCACAGTTACTGAAGACCCATCTACAGTGCCGGAGGGGAGTCTTATGCCGGAATTGGTAGCAATGTGTAACCCTCCAATATAGAAAATTTTATCACCAAAGGCTGCAGCTGACGCAAAAGACCTACTAGTCTGTCTCATGGCCATTTCTACCCAGGAATCAGACCTTGGGAAGTAACAGTACATGAGGTTCAGCGTCATCACGTAAATGCAGTCATGGACTACCACTGCCGCGCTCCACTGCCAGGCGCAGGGCAGCGGGCTCACCATGGTCCACTCATCCTTCTCAGTGTCGTATCTCTCTACGGTCCTCCGATTAAGCTCTCCACCCACGCTGTCTCCTCCAATTGCATAGATATAGCCTTCACAGCAAACCAGGGATGGTTTCACGCGGACAAAAAGCATCGGGGTCTTTGGGAACCAGGTATTTTGCTGTGCATCAAACCAATAAAAGCAATTCACAGTCCTGAAGGCAGTCTGAAGTTTGCTTGTCTTACTGTGATTTGTTTTTGTGTTTTTCAAAGGAATCTGACCACCTGCGATATAGATGTCGTTATCAGGAGTTACAACGGTCCCAACTTTATGCAAATCAGCTGGTGGGCTGCAGAGCTTGTAAACTTTTTCTGCTTGGGGACTGTAACAGACAGAAGAGTAAAGACTACAAGAATTTTCTGAAGATGCTTCAATAAAAATCATCATCTCCTCTTTAGTCATCCCAAGTCTTGGTTTGAAAAACTTGGGCATGGATTTGTACAGACCCTGAACCACGACCGACTTATCATTGGGGGGCAGACCTTGAAACCAAGCTCTCTGCGTTACTTCCGAAAGTGCATCAATTCTGATTTGGCTAAGAACTGAAGACAAATACTGGGATCGTGATTCTGTGTTGTACTCTAGCCACAGCATAGCAGCTTCGCGAACTGTCTCCTCCTTTTCTACGTTTAAGTTGTCACTGCTGAGAATGTCTATCAGGAGGTCGTGTGACAGCTGCATGAAAGCTTCCTGGCGATACACGGCAGTGAACTTGTGCTCCACCATTCTTTTAGCACTTTGTTTCAATTCCTCACAACTGAAAAGATCAGCAAAACTCAACAGTCGCACACAGTTCTCTGCATTTATTTTTTTAATTAAATATTCTCGACAACGTTGTAACACATCTTCTACCTAAAATGGGGGGGCAGGAAAAAGAGTTGACAAAGGCATAATAGGCAAATTTCATTTTTTGTGTAGACACAGGTATGTTAATCAGATCCCTACACTGTTGTTTTTATTTCCAGATACATACTTTGGGCTAAGAGATGTTTTCTGTAATAATAAAATTAGAAGACTATACATATAGGTTTGCATTTTTTTCTACCTGCCCAGTGGCCTACTTATTTGCCCTATTTAGGAGCTAGTGGTACAACATCAAATAACGCTTAAAGACCTAAAGGGAAAGGTAAGCATATATAAGTCACTGTCATTTACACACACACACACACACACGAGCGCGCGCGCGTATATACATACATACAATTCATACATAGTTTTCTAGGCTTTAAAAATATGTAACTGAGAGAATTAAATGAAAACAATGTAAATAAATCATAGTACAAAAATGATTATTATTATTGAGTAGCTAGAATCTGGTTTTATCAGCATGGACAAGACAATCAAATAAAAACAGAAAATCATGCACAGTGACTAAGAATAGTTCTATATGCCTTTCTTATTGAGAGCTAAGACAGCCAATCAAAAGAATAATAACACTTCTGTGTAGTTAAATTATCTACACTTAGATGTCCTCTCTTAGCCACTCTAAGTTGGTTTGTTTTTTCTTAAGGAGGAAAAGTAGATCTCAGATGAATCAGAAGGGCTACCTCTTACACTTATTCAACATCACAGTGGTTAAAAAGGAAAAAAAAAATCACAGTGGTTAACTAGAAGCATTTTATGAAGAGAAGTTTGGTTGCCTGGATTTAAAACTTGGGTTGGCCGTTATGTACTTGCACACTATTAAACAAGTAGCTACTCCTCTAAGCCTCAATTATCTCTTGCATAAAATGGGAAAATTTTCACAAATGATTACTGTAAGAATTAGATGAGAACCTATACAAAGCACACTAGGTATCTGGCATGTAAGAACATCATCGTTCCATGTGGTTGACAGTGAAAGACATAAAACGACCTATCCTAGGCTCACCAGGTGACCCAGTCCCAGGGCCTGAGTCCTATCTCGCACCTGGGCAAGCACAAGCACAGGACAGGAACAGATGGTACGGACAGCGTCACTATTTACAGTGACAGTGCTCTACAATCGAAATTCTTTAAATTCCTCAATTTTTTAGCAATTCTAAAAAACACCTGCCTTTAGTTCTGGCTTCAAAAAATTAATGAAAATTTGCAAGCTGTAGAAAAGACAGCCCTCCCCCATTTCAAGTTTGGATTTGGGCTGTGAATGCCATGGACCCTACAGTACCAAGAAGCTACCTACCAGGGCTTTAGTTTCCCTAGTTATAGGTAAAACAGGTACCTACTATAGGGACAGTATTTTAAATACTTCTCCGTAAGAGCTCAATGTGGTCACATGGCTATTGTACATATTTAAGTCTGATAATTTCCATTAGAATCTTAAAATTTTCTGTAGGAAAAAAAATTTTCTGCAAAAATACCATAAAAATTAGTGTATCTAAGCTGTGAAAAATAAAAAGCACTTAAATTTAATAAACACTGTTAAAAATTTACTTTTACTTGAAATCTAAACTCTCACATACATTAGGCAAAAGTATAAAAGTCTCACTCCTCTTTTTATAATAAAGTTCCCATGACAAAACTAAAGTTTAGTGGCTGATTAAATCCTATTTTGTTTTTCCCTTACACATTTTAAAAAGAGAAAAAAGCTATTACCTTGTAATATCTACAACAAGAAAATTACAGAGATGTATTACTGATGAGTCAATGTTTCTTGAAAAAATACACCCCAGTCAATGTACACAATGGAAGGAAGCGCTGACCTGCAGGAAGCAAGCTGTCTCATAAAGTTGCTCCACGGTGCCGTCGCTTAGTGCCAAGTTACCCGTGTACGCGTAGGTGATTATTATCTGTAAGGTGGCCGCGTCCACATTCCTCAGGTGTACGTGTGTCTGTTTGCTTTCACTCAGTCCACTCATGAACATGGCCCTACAGCAGAGAGAAAAAACAAACCTTTGGGTTTAGTGTATAACAAATGTAGAGTTAAAAAGACAAACGAGACAATATGGGATCTTACGTAGGGTATTTGCTGATGAACAATTTATTGGGAAAACTTTTGAGGGAGAAAATAGGGAAGTATAATCTAGTCCCCAAAATATACCAAACTGTTCTACAGTGCCACTCTGAGTGATGGCATAAAAATCCATTTACAGGCAAACCTCATTTCATTGCATTTTGCAGATATTTTTTACAAATGAAAGGTTAAGACCCTCCATCAGAAAAAGATTTCAATTTGCTGAAGGCTCAGATGATGGTTAGCATTTTTAATCAAGTATTTTTAAGTTAAGGTATGTACAGCCTAGGCTGGTATGGCTCAGTTGGTTGGAACATCATCCCGTAAACCAAAAGGTCATGGGTTCAATTCCTGGACAGGGCACAGGCCTGGATTGTGGGTTCAGTCTCTGTTCAGGGCATGTAGGAGAGGCAACTGATCGATGTTTCTCTTTCACACTGATGTCTCTTTCCCTCTCTCTCACCCTCCCTTCCCCCCTCTCTAAATCAGTACGCATGTCCTTAGGTGAGGATTAAAAAGAAATTAAGGTATGTACATTCTTTTTTTAGACATCATGCTACCGCACACTTAAGACTGTAACATAAACATAACTTCTATATGCAATGTCAAGCAAAAAAGTCCGTGTGACTCCCGTTTCATGATATTCACGTCCTTGCAGGAGTCTGGAACTGAGCCCACAGTATCTCCAAGGTCTGCCTGTGCTGCTTATATTCATACAATGGAATGCTATTCAGAAATAAACAGGAACTAAGCATTGAACCTCAAAAACATGCTCAGTGAAAGAAGCCAATGCTAAAGGCCATGTTTATATGAAATGTCCAAACATAAAGGACAAAGGGGGTATCAGTAGTTACCTGGGGCTGCAAAAGGACAAAGATGATGAAAACGTCTCAAATTAGATTGTAGAGATAGTTGTCTATCTCTGTAAATATACTGACATTCATTTAGTTATATAAATTACATCCCGATGAAGCTGCTAAAAATTTCATTTATCCAAATGATTCCCTAAAAATATGCAGGGCAGTTTTCTAAAAACCTATTATAAATGGGAAACAATGCTGGAAAGGCCATCAGCATTGTAGACTCAAAGTAGAATGCGCACATACAGACGAGAGGTGAAAAACAACGCACAGCATTGCTGTTTGCATAAGAGCTGGGCCTTTAGTGATCAAAAGTAGGTATCACAACAGCCCCGGCTGATGTGGCTCAGTGGACTGAGTGCTGGCCTGCGAGCCAAAGGGTTGTTGCTTGGATTCCCAATCAGGGGACCCGCCTGGGTTGCGAGCCAGGTCCCCAGTGCGGGCGTGTGTGAGAGGCAAACCGCACCCTGATCTTTCTCTCCCTCCCTTCCCCTCTCTCTAAAAATAAATAAAATCTTTAAAAAGTAAAAATAGAAAAAGCAGGTTTCACAATAGTCCCTAGTTTGGGCAGGGAACCCTGGAGGACGGGATGAGTAAAGCATCCAAGATGGGAACGCGTGACCCGGGGTAGAACCGTTTTTCCCCAGGAGCAGGGCTGAATGGGAGTAAGGTTCTTGCTGGAGGCTAGAAAGTGAATGGAAAGATGAGTGGCAGACCACAGGGGGCTCTCAAAACGAGGCACAAGGGTCTGAGCTTTTTCTCGTAATCAGTGGAGCACACTGAAGGGTTCTGAGCATGGATTTATTAGATAACAAAATGTATTCTAGGATGAATACTTTGTACTCACAGACCTCAAGGGTCAAAGGCCAGAAACAGGGAAACGGGTTCTGCGGCTACTACCGCAACAAGCCCGGTGAGAAGCGAGAAGAACCTGAGCGAGGGTGGCAGAAATGGATACCAAAGCTATCACAAAGAACCAAAATGTGGAGATTTTCCCAACACAGGGAATAGGAGAGTAGGAAGTCGATAAGGAAAGAATCAAAGCTACTTACTGATTTTCAATACAGTGCCTGAAAAATTACTGTTAACCATTGAGAGAAAAAAATATGACAAGGGGGAAAAGTAGTCCCTGTAAAAAGACAAGTTAAATTCTGGATATAATGAGGTAAGGACAATTCAATTAAATGGCAATAATGCACTAATCTGTTAAGTATTTAATATTCCTGGAACTATAGAAGTGAGGCATTAATGCAGTGAACTATAAACTGTCTTCCAAAGTGAGGTGTGAGAGCCGAGTAAGTTATCTGAGGGGAACTAAAAACTAAAAAACCCACCCAGAATCCCAAAGACCAACCTGAGACAGAATTCAATCAGGATAAAAAAATGAAAGCCAGGAGGCCGAGAAAGCTCCATCGGAGAAGCAGGAGCCAGGCGGCCAGCGCGGCGCCACTCAGGGCAGCGAGGCGCGGAGCCAGCACTGCGAGCTCAGGGCAGCACACCCCGCGGCGGCGCCGAGGTGGTCGCCGGCCACCTCCAGGGTGGCTCCGAATGAGCAGTTCGGACCGGAGCTGAACCCCAGGCCGCTGGGGAGTGGAGAGGCACAAACACCATCCACAGTGGCAGGAGGGGGGGCCTGAGGACTTCCTCCCCTAGACCGCGGCACGGCCCTACGTCCGCCTGAGCCAGCGCTGGAGGGCGCTCAGTGCCCTTGAAAAACACCTGAGACCCCGATGAGCCGCTCTCTAAAAACACTTAAGTGCTACTGGCTTCACCTGTTTGACATGGGAGAATGGGAAAAATATAGTGAGCCCTGAAAAGGATTTATCAGAGCTCTGAGGAACAACAGACGATTGAGGGGTCACAAGCAGTTTTTACATCTGTCCCAGCAGAAGGTGGTAACTCTGGAAGAGGAAGCAGGGAAGGGGAACAGCTGACTGTCCAGAAGACACTGAGACCGGCCATCCCAGACTTGGCTGATGACACCAGAATGACAGACCTCCGTGAAGAACTGGGTGTCCTGAAGACCAAGGATAGCAGCCCACCCATCCTGATAGTGAAAATTTTAATTTTTAAAAATATATACTCTTTATTATATTTTTTATATTACCATTTAGTCCCCTTATACCATGACTGTGAAAATTTTAAACATTTTTAAGAAAGAGCAAACACTGGATTACTTAATACTGCAACCGGCTGAAGCACCACCATGAGAGAGATGGTAAGTATACTCTTACACGGGTCTAAAATGCACCATCCATGTTACCAAGGAGCAGAAGCTACTACTTCAGAGGCTCTACAGATTTTTTTGTAGGGTGGCATGGCAATTCAAACTACAAAGAAGGTACCTGGTTCAAAAGGCAAACTAAGAGTAAGTTCTGATGGTAAAGACAGAGAGCAGCATTCCATAAGCGTAAAGGTACTAAAATTACAAACCTGAAAACAGAATCCAGAGGAAGAATACTTGGAAAAAGATCAAATTATTATTGTGGTAGTATATGATAATCTACTTGATCCAGAGAAGAGATACATGTGCGAGAAAAGAAAATTCATGAGTGTTTTTATATTGTGGATTATGAAAATGTCCCAGATACAGGGTCTTAAAGACGTGTGGCTTTAACTCCAACAAATTGGACTATTCTTTCTACTTATTATCTGACTTGCTTTAGGGTGAATATACTCTCTCAGAAGACCAAGGATGCTAAAGAACGGAGCCTGCTAGGGGTCAGGAAATAACAGCAGACTTAAAAAGTGTTGTCTGTAACTAATGAAGATCTGTTTAAGTTTCTTGGTCTTAAGGAAAACCAATTTCAACCCAATCAGTTAAAGATTAATAATCTCGTGAACAGAGAATTTAAATAGTGTTATCTATATAATCACAAATAAACCAAACAAGGAAGACACCTAAATAAACCCACGGGTTACTTCCTGATTAAAGATGAGGACAGCACAGCAGCGTTCCGGCCAGAATTCCCTCACAGGTCTAGAGGTGAGACTCGATGATGGCTAAGGTTACCACCGCGGGAGGCCCGACTCTGATTACAAACGGCAATCTGAAAGTGCCCGACGAAGGCATAAAGCTCTTTACAACAACGATGAGTAATCAATTTACAATTAACGGTCATTAAAAAGGGAAAGCAAATGGGGCCAAGGTACCGCCTGGTTCTGTAACCTCCAATTTCTAATACCATCTGTCTATAAGCCAATAGATCTGGAAAGCCTTTAAATATACAAATTCTGAAATTGTGACTTGACCACTGAATCAGAATTTCTAGGTTTGAAATCCAAGACTCTCTTTGTAAAAGCACCCAACAGGATTCTGATGATCAATCAGGTTTTAGAGCTACTGTTTACAAACATGGTAAGCTTTCTAAGGTAACGAAATCAGTGTCTGAAATTACATAAAAAAGCCCACAGTTTAACCTGAAAGAACTGCACACACAGCCCAGGCCGTTGGCATTTGGACCTTTGCTCCTGCAATCATCATGCGACGTGCTACACCGAGGAAGGTGAAGTTTCTACACCTTCAATGTCCTCTCTACAGATGCCACCAAAGAGCAGCAGTAATTACCATTTGTTGTTGTTTTCCACTTATAGATTGCTAATATCTGTAGCAGAAATATAGTGGTCCACATTTAACTCATCTTTATTCACCCCGTCCCTTTCAAACATTAAGAAAGAATTCAACCTAAGGACAGAAAATAAAAGAATTGCTATGCCTTAGCTTCCATTCCTCTCATGAAACATTAAAAGTAACCCACTTTAAAAAGATTAAAAGTTACAAAAGATGATAAAAATGCAAAGCTTTACTTATTTGTAATTAGCAAACAAATAACCAAATCAATCACTAAATTCTGAGGCATAAAGAACACCAACGTTATTAATTATTAAATATTTAAATCTGGCGAAGAGTCTAGTAAGGCTAGAGGATAACACAAATGGTAACAATAACCAAGAGTGAGAAAAATATATTTTTGCAAATAAAATACAAGTCCTTAAGACATCTAAACAGAACCAATTATCCTCCATAAGTTATTACTGAACCTACTATACTCTTTAATTTATAAACAACGACCAGTTTTTAAATTGCTTTTTAAAATCTCAAGGAAAAAAACTATCCCATTCATTTTTTTTTCATGCTATATTATCTTTAATTAAGTACAGAGACTTGTTTTGTTTTTCTTTTTAATGTAAAATAACATCCCGAGTCTTTCTGGTTCACTTGATTAAAACTTTTCCTTAATTTCAACAAATTCTTTTTGTAGTTAATAAACCTTTGTAATAAAAGCTTCTTTCACCTGTCCCTTACATATGCAAGGAATTGATTTGGAAAGCACTATAATTCTGTAGAGAAAATGTAAACAGAACATTAAGACATATTTTTTTAATTTAAATAATGCTTTAAAAATTACTATTAAAATAAGCTACCATTCTGCATTTGAAATGACAAACTAATCAAGATTACAGCACTTACCTAAAATAAGAGCTACATGTTGCAAGAACCATCTTATGACAAGGGAACTCAGTGCCCTCAACAATTAATACTATGTCAGTAAACAACTGCTGTTCATAAAACAGTTTTAACTGTTCCAACAAGGACACAGCATATTCAGTATTGATCTGCCTCTCGTCTTGAGTGGACATGACTGTATTCCATTAATATGTCCCGAAGCAGATTAGAAAAGTCAGTCTTACTGATGGAAGGTCAAGTGAATGTTTCAAGCAATAAAGAAAGAAGAAACTCCGCTTGCTGTTGTCTGCAGCATTCAGAACCAAGACTGACACCTTCACGAATGAATAGTATCTTGTAATAGACTTAATATCACTCCTAGGTCATCCTGTGTTAATTAGGTTCTTCAGAGTTTTTCAACACGGTCTGCAGACATCTTGCTCCAATTTGCAGTTGATGTACAGCTCATGAGTGAAAACCAGTAACACACGAGGTAGATTTCGTGGCAACATCCTATGTTCTGTGGATCTTCAGAAAGTAACTAAAAAGAAAAAAAGTTCAGTTAGAGTATACAGACCAGTACATTTTAGAATACCATTTCAAACAATAGACAAATATAAATTTAATCAAATGAGCTACCCAGCCGGGGCTGTATTAATCTTCATACAGTGTTCCCTTCCTATAAATCTTTTTTAAAATTAATTATTTTTATTCCTTCCTACAAATCTTTGTAACGGCATACAATTTTACTGGGGGGAAAAAAACAAACACACAAAACAAGATAAAACAGACATCTGTTCTTATATGGAAGACTCCACATTCTATAAATGTGAATGTCCTCCAAATTAATTTGTAAATTTAATACAAATCCAATCAAAACCCTATTTGCAAAGGGTTCACTGGAAGAATGTACAAAAGCTGCCAGGATATTCGGGGGGAAAGGAGGGCAAGTTTGTCCTCGCGACTTATTTCAACAACAGCGCTGGAACCACTGGCTATCCCCTTGAGAAAACAAAAACCTACGTCTCAAGTCACACTGCACACCACTCATCACAAGGAACTCCGGCTGAATTAACGTTTAATTTTATTTGTAAATCAGTATTGACCACATATGCCAAAGAAATTACAAATAAGGAAGAGGGAAAACCCATATAGAAAGCTAGTAACAGTTAAAAACTACCACCTCCTTTTCATATAGAAGACTCTAGTTAAGTGGTTGATAACAAAACCTATAAATATGAGCATCACTGGAACCACTAACCCTTCTTCTCAAAAATTATTATCCGTGTCAAAGAGATCACCTTGTACTTCCTTCCCAACTATACTGTTACAGGAACTCCTAACTTGATATAAACTGTCAAATTTCCAGCCAAGTTAACTGTGGAAGTAAATAAAACACAGGCCCAGGCAGTGGCTTTGGGTCACGTAAGGTCATGATTTTGCTCTTGCCGATCTGAGTTACACTATAAATCTAAGTTCTAGTATTTATTACAACGTCTCACCCTAGTAATATCAGGTCAGGTTTTGCAAGCAAAGTTTTATTAAAAACTTGATTTTTAAAAGCTTTTTGAATTTTAGAATTGCAAATGAAGTATATAACTATAGTATTTGGCATTGTAAATGCTTAATAACTTAATCTGCCAGTTCTACTTCTAGAAATTTCTCTTACAGAGGTGCATTTCTCTTACAGAGTTTCAGAGGTAAACTGAGTCCTAACCCCAGCCGAGGGCCCAAACTCATCCCTATCCACATTTAAAGCAGGTGACAGGAACTGGTGACCGGGGCCAGGATGGATTTGGTTCCTACTGCTAGTCCCCAGAATTCCTTGCAGACTCAGCTGTACAGGCTCACTCTGGTAATTTCTTTAACTTTCTACTATGACCTGATTTTTTTTTTTTTTTTTTGCAGTGACCTTTTGGGGCCCCATTTAATTTGTTTTGTCTGGATTTTACTAGATTTGATTTTTTTAAATCACACATGACACTGTATTAAAACAACTGAAGTCTGCTCTCAGAATATCACAATTAGCCAATTTTATATAATCCTCATTAGCACTGGTTTATACAATTCTATTTCCCACTGCTTCTTCTGTAATTTAGGGTGCATTTTTTTTCCTGATAAGGTAATTTTTATTCAGGATACCTTAATATTTAAATAGGAAGAAAAAAGTAAGCCATTCAGATATCACATTAAGTAAATAAACAATTGGAACAAATCTGTCACTACTGCAATTCAAAATAAAATTAAGTGTCACTTCTCTGGGAACATAGACTTCAAAATGTATTATCCAAAAATGTAAAAAGTTGTGAAGTTTAAGATGACCAACGGACACAGCCTTCAAATGCCTGTAACACGAACTTTTCTATAATAAGATTCCTTCTCTCCTAAAAATAAAACTTGAAATCAATATCCTAAATACTCTGAAACATTTCATAAAGTTTGTACTATATTACTTAACTACCAATTACCTGAGGCATTTTTACAAATTTCCCTTTTAATATTGCCATTTATCATTCTGTACTTTATCTAAAATTTGCTTCAAAACAAGTGATACATCCTGTTACTTGCAGAAGTGAGCATCCTCAGACTGAGTAATTTTCATGTATCAAGGAAACTGCTTACTTAAGTCTTCAATTATAATTTAAAGGCTACTGAAATCCACTCTCACAAACACTGACTGTTTACCAAGTGTCGGTCACTGCGCTCTAAGCACTCAGAGCGGCCAGGCACCGCAGCGGCGCTCCTCCAGGGGAGTGCGTTTGCTCCCACTACAGGCTACATGTAGCCAATGCCATGACTACACCTTAAAATCAGGTGTTTTAAAACCAAAATAGACAAATTCAATCGCCAAAAGAGGTTGGGGCAAATGAGTGAGGCCAGCTGGGTATAAGAAACATTTTTCTTGAAATCTAACTATCTCGATCTTTCATTTCCAAACTTCTGATAGACATAAGGAAGTTTATTCTTTACCGTAAGAAAAAGTGTATGAACAAAGTAGGTAGTTGGCATTTGCCCCCGCTGGTAACAGCGGTTCACACTGTAGAGGAAGGAAAAATTTATTGAAAATGTATAGATTTATTAACATGTGCAATGATTGTCTAATTTTTTAAAAACCTCCAACTTTCAAAAGGCGTACTACTTTCTCTTCTCAACACAAGTATTTCAGGCTTTATAAACCATCAAGGCTCTGTCTCAAACACTTAACTCTGCTGCTGTAACCTGCAAGCAGCAAAAGATAGTATGTAAACAAATGGACATGATTGTTGCAATAAAACTTTATTTACAACAATGAGCTTCAGGCCACGTGTACCAATCTCTGCTGTCAAGACTGCTCCTTGATCAATTAAGAATCAGTTATCTGGCTTCCATTTTGTTCATTGCTTAGGTGTTGTCTAAAGTGTCTCTGCCCCCACCCCTCACAGGTGCCACTCGGTTGGTTGGTCGTCCCACAAAGCAAAAGGTGGCCTGTTCTTCCTGGTCAGGGCACATGCCCAAGCTGCAGTTTCTTACCCAGTCCCGCGCATGTAAGAGAGGCGACCACTCAATGTGTCTCTCTCATATCAATGTTTCTCTCCCTCTTTCTCCCTCCCTTCTCCTCTCTCTAAAATTAAATAAATAAAAATAGTTTAAAAAATAAAAAATCTGCTCCCCAAAATGGTATCACACATGCTGATACATATTATACTAAAATGAATACATCTTTATATTTGTATTTTTGTTTTCAACACTGCCAAGGTGCTATGGGAAATTAAAGTAACAAATATTAGAAAAAACAATTTAAAAGCAAAAAAAAGAAAAATCAGCAAATAATATACTTGTTTTTCTTGGAAAAATGTTTTGCCTTCAGATCACAAAAACAAGGAAAAAGTACAAAACTTAAATACTTGAAAGTTGAATTAAATATAATTCTTTATCTAACCTGTATATACTTGTATTACACTTTCTTTTCAACTGAACTATTTTAACATCACATACTTAATAACACAACTGTTTTCTCCACCTGCTGCAGGTTCAGTGGAATGTGAAATACTTTCGCTTATCTAGTGTAAGTACCCTTTACTAAAGGTTTTAAAAAAAGGACATTCCTTTCGAAGATAATCTTTGAAAAAACCCACAATGAGAAAACACTATTATAGTCAGAAACACTTAAATCATTGTTTATTTTATCAACTACAATATCTACATACAATACATCTGAAAAAGAGAAGATGTGCCCTGGCTGGTGTGACTCAGTGGACTGAGCGCCAGCCAGCAAACCAAAGGGTCACCTGTTTGATTCCCAGTCAGGCCACGTGCCTCAGTTGCAGGCCAGGTCCCCAGTAGGGGACTCTTGAGAGGCAACTATACAGTGATGTTTCTCTCTCTTTCTTCCCCTCTCTAAAAATAAATACAATCTTAAAAAAAAAGGAAACAGAAGATGTGTACAAGACAGTGCTTATACAAAGACATTTAGTGGATACATGGATTCATTAGATGAACCAAGGGGCAGACTGGGAAATCACTGTCACATGCTACAATTCCTGGTACAAGGTACTTCAAGATTAGTAAGAGAGTTCTGTATTTTATTTATTTTTTAGTTTATATATTTTTTATCACCATTTATCCTCCTTATACTTTTCCACCTCTACCCTCCCCCACAAAAGTCCTGTATTTTAAAGCTAGTCATTAAAACAGATTTCATAGTGAAAAAGACCAACTAGAATAAGAAATGAGTCATAGAAACACGGTCTGAGATTTAGATTCTAATAAAATACAATGTACTTTGACATAAAATTTGGGTTCTAATAAATTTTGTCTAGAATACCCAAGCCTCCAAGGTTCTAATAAGTGAATTCCACGACACAAAGTAATTTCAAAACATTCTGTTATTAAATGATCATTAAGATTAAATCATGCAGCAATCCATAGTAAAATATATAATTCTACTTAAAAATCTGAAACAACTCTCAAGGAAAATTATTGCAACTGGTTTTCCTCTCTTAACTAATCCATGAGGCTGATCAGCAGTTAACTGAGCTGTGTATATCAAAAGAAGGAAGGATAAAAGATGGGGAGAAGGCTGCAAACAAGGACTGCACAGGAGTTACAGGGCAGGGATAAAACGGTGACAGAGAAGACGGGTAATGGGTACAAGTCATCACGTGTACCGAACGCCTTGAAGTTGTGTATTACTAATTTAGGCGGTGCTGCGTCTTCCAATGCTACCAATGTCAACACAGAAGTCAGAAAGCTTTTGTTGGAAAGGGTCCAAGGCTTTCTGAACGTAAAACACTGCCAAAAAAATTAAGAGCATGAACTGTGGAGCCAAATTACGTGGGTTGAAAACCCAATATGCAACTTATAGCTGTTTGACCTTTTCAAAGTTATTTACTTTTTGTGCTGGAAAATGGGGGATAAAAATAAACTCTGCTCAATGGATTAAGGATTAAACAAGTTTTATAAAGAGCTGGAAAGAGTGCCTGACACACAGCACTACTCTATGAACATGTGCAATTATTTTTATGACGTATCACTGGCAAAGCTTTTTGTAGCACGTTCCCCACTCCTGCACCAGGTGTAGGGGTCCCAATTACAAGGTCTCAGCACTTACACAGTTCTCTTTTTTTACCCTGGGTGAATGGTATTTCAGACAAGGGAAACTCATTCAAAGATTTCAGGGAGTATTTTAATGGTGCGACAAGGACTAATCTTGGGAAGGCTGGTGCCAGTGCAGAAAACTGAGGTGAAGGCCAGGAAGGCAGCGGTTTCGAAACAAGCCTTCCTTCGCTGCAGCGAGAAGACAGGCAGCTCCTCTGCGAGACAGAGGCTGGGGCCAGAAACAGTTTGCTTTCAAGTTATCAAAACAATCCCGACCATTGAGAATGTTTGGAAGATGGGCCTTTAGGTTGTCAACCACTACACAGAATTTTTTTTGAGGTGTGACAAACGTCAGTTAAAAAACAAACACCTTGCCCTTTGAAGAATTTATCAAGTTTGATAAATTTCAATATAGTGTCCTCCACTCTACTCAAATTCAGAGCTTTGGCCTATTCCCCTGTGTTCTTCGTTTCCAGCCACACTACAAAGACCACATAGCTCCACTGAGTACTTATGCCCAGTACCCTAAGTAAATTCAGGTTGCAAGTGTAAGCTTCTGCAGTACATTACGATCAGTAAGTTACCTCGCTTTTTAAAAAATTAAAACAAGAACATAAAGGAGATGCCATGGTGACAAAATAATTATGTGTAGTGTGTTCTTTTATTTTGGGTATCACTCTTTTCCCTCTCAGCTCTGCATAGGAACTAAAGACAGCTTTCTCTAAACTTCGCTAAAGTGAAATTGGCCCCTAACTTTTTCACTGGGATTTCATTTCCCACCAACTCAATGATTTTTTTCAATCACAAGAGCGGAAGAAAATATTTCCCAGATAGTCAAACGTACTCATGAGGTCATTAAGGGCATAGCTCCTTAATGATTACGACTACTGACCGTTTCTGTTTTTTAAAAAAAATAAAAGGTAAACTGAGAAATACTTAGAATGTTCTGCCTACCATGGATGCTGCTACATGTCACCACTTGTCAGAGGCACGGGAGTGGAGCAGAGAAAGAGAAACATCTTTAAATCATCCCTCATCAAATGACTATCTCCAAATATCCTACTATAATCCCTTCTTTCCACACTGAGGAATCTAGGCACTGCAAATTTCTAGCAAGGGAACAAGGACTAACCTTCATATACTTAGAAAGTTACTTGAAATCAACCTGTCATTTCTAATATTCTGAGTTATTCAAATATTAGTTGCCCGATTCAAATGTCACAAAACGGTAACACTGAGACACAATGAAGGATGTGGGCATTTTAGTTCATGCCCTTGCTGACAGCAGGAGCATCCTCTTTCCTGGTCCTTGGAATGCGGCCGAGGAAAAAAACGACTTTCCAAATGTGTGAAATCTTTGGGAAAACCAAGGTATCTTTTGGCTTTTAAAGCCACATTCAAGTTTCCAGGAACTGACCATCCACCTTAAACACATTCAGTGTTCAATGTTTGGACCGTATGAAATACCTCATTATTTCCATTAACCAAGAAGAAGAAAATATACGGAGGAGTGCAGACTTCTGTCCCAGGACACCTCTGTTCCTTGCCACCGCCTTCCAGGCCCTGTAAGTTACTAGTTAACATCTGGCGGTTAACACTTCTCGTCTGAGCAAAAAGGGGAGCTGAGTTGCAGGGCGTAAAACTCTTCCTACAAAACTGTGTGTACAGAAAACAGCACTGACTCGCTGTGTGGGAAGCATGGACCCTAAACATGCTCTGCAGCACCACCCTGGTCCCGCGGATTTCAGGGCTGCCCCAAAGGGCTCTCATAGATCAACTAGGCCAACAAAAGATCAAAGCGAAAAAGCAAGCTCCACACTAGCTAGCAGCCAGATGGGAAGAATAACAAAATCCCACATCATCAAGACTGGAAAACGGACTGGTTTTACTTTTCAATTTACTTTAAGTCAGAGAAAAAGTCCTTCTGAAAAAAAGGCCAGGGAAAAAGTATCTACCAAAGGTTAACTAAAGTAAGTTACCAGTGGCGAGAGATTTGTAGTCCACGCTATTCAAATTCAGGCAAAAAAAAAAAAAAAAAAAGAAAGAAAGAAAGAAAGAAAAAGAAAATCACAACTCAGAGGGGAAAAAAACCCCACCGTTAATTAGAAGAAAATGTCATTTTGGTCTGACCACATTGCTGACACGGTTTTGTTCCCGAAAGCCAGAATGGTGGGCCAGACATACAGATTCATATACAAGCAACACGTGACCAGCTCTGTCCCCTCCGTTTTTATATGGCTAAATGACATAGAGGCACGATACTTCTCACAAACATACCCTTTTAGAGTTAGTTTCACATTCTAGATTCTTTTTCTATTTCCACTTAAACGGGTCATCGCGCGGTAGCGGGCAATTCTAGAGATCTGTAGCCCATGGAGTGGATATTCCTCTCCCCTTGAGGTAGCTATAAAAAGAGATCTTGGATTGCTAACCAACCACCCACCCCCCCGCCCCAAAAGACATGAACTCGAAATAACTACTCCACATCAAACTAAGGGAACACACTCCACCATGGTTTCTCAATTCAGAGGGAGAGGGCGGTGGTCGAGTTCAAGTAAGTTACCGATTTCAGTCTAAAGTAAACACGTACACAATTTTCCGTTTCAAAAGGCAGCTTCTGCTTTCTTGTTAAAAATTATTAGATCACAACGGGACCCCTGGTAACCTAGACATCTTTTGGTAACTACTTCAGAAGCACCGAGAAAGGAAAACTGCAAGGAAGGGCTGGCCCTGCTCCGGCCCACCATCTCGCGCACACGTCGCGAGTTGTTAAGGGAAACGGTTTTATTTTGGCAAAGGCGGGCGCTAGCCGGGGCCGGGAAGCCGCCCGGCGACCCGCGGCCGAGGAGGCGCCCGGGGGCCGAGGCCGGAAACGCCCCCGCGAGCGGCGCGCCCGCCGTCTCAGTCCCGCGAAGCCGCAGCGCGCGGGGCAGCGGAGGGGCCGCCACGGGGTGCGGAAGGCAGCGCCGGCCCCCCGCCCTTCCCCCGCCCGCAGCGGAAACGTCTCGGGTTTGAAAGATGCCGCCGCCGCCCCCCGCCCGCCAAGCCACAAAGGACCGAGCCTCCTCCCCCAATTCCGCCACAGGTCGTCGCGGGCTCCCCCCGACCGTCCCCTCTCTTCTGGCGCCGGCGACGCCTGCTTACCCGCGTCCCTCGGCCCCGAGAGCTGGGATCCGATGTGGCCGGCAGCCCCGAAGACACTGGGCCCTTAGGGCGCGGCGGCGGGGGCGTGGCCCTCCCGCCGCGGCCAAGGCCGGGGTCTCGCCTTGGAAGGCTGGGGCCGCCGCCTCCTCTTCCTTCCGGTTACCCCTCGCGCCCTCCCTCGGCGGTCCGTGCTGCGCGGAAATCAGCGTTCTCTGCGGGAGCCGCCGCACGCTCCTCGGGGCCAGATCACCGCCAGACTCCTCCCCCGGGAGCCGCACCGCCCGCCCGCGCCGCCTCGTCAGCCCGGGCCCCGAGACGCCCGGCTCACCGCCCCTGCCCCGCCCCTGCGGCGCGCTCTCGCCCCCTCGGCGGGCCCCTTTCTCCGCCCCGGAACGTGCGGACAGCGGGCCGCTGGCCAGCCCTTGCCAGGTTTTCCTTTTCCCTGCTCGCGCGCGCCTAGCGGCACAGGCGGCAATTTTGCAGTTTCCCGGGTTCTCGAGCCCCCCCTCCCCCCAGTTCCCCCTTCCCCGCCCTCGCCCTCGCGCCCCCTCCCTTTTCCTTGGCTGGAGCCTACCGGAAAGCCAAAACAATTGGGTCCGCGCAGGCGCAGAAAAGGAAGCGGAAATAGCAGGAAGGGTGGGGGCGACGCGAGGTGACGGGGAAGCGCTATTGAAGGGGTTTCCCGGGAAGGTCAGCGGAGGGCGCGTGCGCGGCGGAGGGTGGGCCGCCCCTGCACCCGTTCCCCGCAGGACGCGCGGGCCTGGGTTCGCTCGCGGCTTCCTGCGGCGGGCGCTTCTGGCTTACCCTGGTGGAAGGAGAGGCCTGAGAATTTTACTGCTAGGAAATCCGGGAAGCAAAGCACCAAATGTTATGCCGTAGGCTGTGTTCTCCCCTTGGAAATACGACATTTGCAGGGTGGGTCGGGGAATAGGAAAGAGGACTAGACAACACTAGACCAGGGGAATAAAGGATACGTTGGGCGCTGGTTCAGTGGGCTTTGTCTTTCAGCCCTTCTCTCCATAACACGCCTTTCACTTTACGGAGCACGTTCGGTTTTCCCGATCTCATCCAGAAAAGCTTCTTGTCTTGGTCTCTCCAGGCCAAGGCACAGCTCAAAGTAGCACTGAAAAGGCCTGGAGTCCTGGGTGCGGAGGGAGCCTGTCTGCACGTGAAGCTTTCAGATAGTTTCATGCCGCAATGCGGGCTGCTACCTGTCCCCCTCCGTCCTCCGCAAATTCCAAAGGAGCATCTTCAGCTTCAAAAGCCAAGCCTTAGTAGCAGCTGAATGCTGTGGCCCACACTGATTTTGTTAACTTGGCACACAGTTTGGTCTCGCGTTTGATGGAAGTTATTTGTGGATCAGAGATTGTCAGAAATCCGCACACAGCCTTCAGCTACCTTCATAACTTCACTCTTGGCACAAATCCTGTCTGCAGAACATACACGACTAATATAAACTAAAAGTGTAATGCATAGTGTGTTACTGGAGAGCCTCTTCCTGTAGGGTAGGCTAGGCTAGATCAACTGCACACCAAGATGTGTGTATTCGGGGCTACTACTGATAAAAGATTTTCCACTGGATTTAGAAACTAGATTCATTCAACAAATGTATTTGGAGTGCCCAATACGCTATCACTCTGCTTAGTCTGATTAAATGTTTAAGTGTGTTAATATTAACGAAAAAGCCATGCAAAAAAATCCAGTCATTTAAAAAACGTTTGAGAACCTGCTCTGTGCCAGACTGGATCTTGGAGAGGCAAAGTCTAAACAGGAAGGTGGAAACAATACCTATGGTAAGAGTGTGTTTCATCCTACAGAAGAGCCATTTAACTTTTAAGGAGGAGAATATCTTGAAAAGATTTTAAAGCCCTGGCTGGATAGTTCAGTTGGTTAGGGGGTTGTCTTGATGCACCAAAGTTGCGGGTTTTCTCCCTGGTCAGGACACGTACAAGAATCAAGCAATGAAAACAAAGAAGTGGAACAACAAATGGATGTTTCCATCCATCTTTCTCTCCACACCTCCCGCCCCTGCCTTCCCTTCTTTTCTCTAAAAATAAATAAATAAATAATTTTTAAAGTTAAAAAGTTTTAGAAAAATAACTCTGAAGCATAGTGGACTTCCAACGGGAAGCTGGGGTGCTAATTAGGAGGCTGTTAAAATAGTCCAGACCAGAGATGGAGAGTAAACTCATTTAGTGACAGTGAAGATTGTGAATGATGACTTGAAACTATCTAGATATAATGAGGGGATGAGGGAAAATAAAGTGATTAGGTAGTAATATCAGTAACTATATAAAGAGGCTAATTGTGAGGATGAAAAAAGAGCACTAAAAGGTCATTTTAATAGCTGTACAGTTAGGAATTCATTTGGCTACAAGTAAAAAAAAAAAAAGATTCCATTGCAATCATTTAAATAAGGGTCTCTGGTCACAAAAACAGTCTGCAGGTAGGCAGGTACCCTTGTTGATTGAACAGCTTAAGATCAGCAGAGCCACAATTTTTTGATTCTCTTGACATTTCTCTCATGATTGCAAAATAGTTGCAGCGCTTTTAGACTTCACACCAGAAGATGGAAAAAGGAATGGCTTCAGCCACCTATATTTATTTCAGGAAAGTAAAAGTATTTTTCATGTTAACTAGTTTTAGATAATCTTACGCAAACTAGAGAACAGAAAAAAGATTGCAAGTTATCTGATTGTATGAGACTCATTATACGAAACCAAGAAAAGACAATACCAGTATCAAAAATCATAAAACAATTCCATTTGTAATCTTAGATTCCAAAATCCTAAATGAAATACCAGCAAATGTAATCCTGCAGTGTATATTAAAGTATATCAAAACTGATTTGGATGTATCCCAAGAATATAAGGATTGTTTAATGAGAGAAAAATCTATTAAGGAATCTGCTTTATTATAAAGTGAAGGTTAAAAATAACTACTTCAATGGATTTAGGAAAACCATTTACTAAAACTCAACATTCAAAATTTTAAAACTTCTTTGCTAGTTTGGAATAAAAGAGATCCTATTAACTTGATAAAGAATATCTGGAAAATAACCTACAATAATTCTTTATGATGAATCATTAGGGATTAAGATAAGACAATGGTATCTGCTATGAGTTTTTTAATTGAATATTGTATTGAAGATCTTAGAAGCTTAGGACAAATAAGAGAAATGAGAAGATAGTCACTGAAAAGAAGAAACAAAACTCATTATTTGTAGATGATTTGAGTGTCCACATAAAAAATAGCTAGTCAAGTCTATCAAAAATTGAAACAGGAGAGTTCAGCAAGGCTGCTGGAATATAAAATCAATGTATAAATATCAGTAGCATTCCTGTACACCACCAACACAGAAAATGTAATTTATATCAATTTAAAGTGTAAGGAAAATTTATAAAAGAAATTACAAATTAGAACCTAGTATTTAAGATCTGTCGATGGAGACAGGTGTGATTCTAGTTCATTCTATTCCTGTATAATATCCCATAATCTAGCTGTACTATATCCATTCTCTTGATTCATGAACATTTAAGTGGTTTTCAATTTTTACATATTATGAGCAATGCTACTGCAACTAACATTTTAAATAAATGTCTCCTTGTGTGTATGTGCAACATCTTATTCTAGGGTATTTTAGAAAAAGAATTGCTAGTTCATGGAGTGTGACGCATTTTCAACTCTTTTTAGATACTGTCAACTTGCTCTCCCAAGTGATTTTACCAATTTATACTCGCACCAGCAGTGTATACATGTCCTTGTCACTCTGCTTCTTCCCTAACGCTTGGCATTGTCAGACTTGTTATGTTCCCCCCCCCCCAATCTGATGGTTATAAATGGCACCTCATTGTAAACCCCGCAAACTATAAGCCTCCTAAGAATTACGATTTTGTTTTTCTTCCCTGCTGTTTCCTCGGGGCCAGAATTGTGCGGATCCCATTGTAGGAACGCAAATGCTTGTGAAGGGGATGAATGAACGCACGAAGGGTCCCTCGTGAGACTGAGCATCCTCTTGTGTTTTTTCCTGACCAACATGGTAAAGATGAGGCTCAAGGTGTGGGAACCGCCTCATTACACACGTGTTTAAAATTTCAGTGTGCAATCAGTGTGTCCACTGAGGGGAAAGTTAAAATCACTCTACTGTAATGAGAGACAGGGACTGCCGAATTGTCACAGTGAGTGTGGCTGACGACCTGAGCACGAGAGAAGGCCTCGGGCCTCAGAATCCAAAGATCTCAGGCCACTCCTCTTCTAGCCAGTAGGACGGCAACTTCATATAGATGGGCAGATGACTTAATCTTGAATCTCAGGTGTCCTTATCTTAAAATAGAGATGATGATGATGATGTGAGCCATTTGGAATCCTGAGCAGAGAACACACAGTTCACTAACCAGACCTTAACACCAAAATAACAACCACCATCTAACCTCAGATACACCACCACACACAAAATGCTGAATTAGCACAAAAGCGCCTTACATAAGAGGTCTAGCTGGAATCTACGGACTAGTTAGTATCATCTGTTTCATCGTTGACATTATCTGGCACTGCCTCCAGCCCAAAACGCAGTTAGCTGGCATCTCCGGGACGTTCTCAGTCCACTCCCGCTCCCTTGTGACCTCCCTACCAGCCCTCTCAACTATGACACCTGGAAGCTCTGTCTGGCTACATGTGAGCCACCATATCCCTCAATCTATTCACCAAATAACCCCTAACTGTGTCCCCTCCCAAGGACAGCTGCCCTCACAAGGAAGCTGTGCATTCTCCCTTTCTTCATGCATGTTAGGGCTGAGATATGGCCACTAGCTAGTGGCAGATCCGAGTTTTATGGGGACTGAATATTATGAAATTTAGGCAACTCTCTTTAAGAAAAACAGTATGAGATAATGAGCACAAACATCTCGAGATGTTTCATTCTCTCACCTTGCTGCACAGTCTGCCACACTCATTGAAGACCTGGGATCCTGCAAATGACTACAGTGTGAAGAAGGGGTGACCCATCCTAAACCCCGGCCTCCAGGTCGTTTCCTGCCTCTGCACCGGTGACCTTCCCTCCTGTAGCGCTTTGGCAAACCGCTACCACGGGCACCTGGGGGGCCTTGTTATAACGGGCAACTGCTCTGCCTCTGAAATCGTACACTTCACCTTTTTATTCTCTGACCACAACCCCTCTCCTCTAGCTCTTCGGCTGTCATATGGAAGATATCCCTTATTTATTCTGCCTTTGATTCGCCCCTATCTGACATTATTTGCTTTC